AAATCCATGTCTTTTACACGATCGTAGATGCAAAGAATTTTGATAGCAAATGCTACTTACTACTATATATAAATACTCGGTTTTGTTGGAAGCAGTCAAAGATGCTTACGAGTCAAATTCGGAAGTAAAAGGAAGATATATGATTCTCAAGAAACATAAAGATCCAATCTTGGAAGAAAAGATGAATGCTTTTAAAGTTATAGATGAGATGAATATGTCAAAGTCTACGAAACATATGAAAATGCACAAGTTAGAGATGAAAATGCTGGAGCCATACCTGTAAACAAATCCGGAGATATCTCCCACTAAATTCATAGCTCCTCTCCATCTCTGTATCTTCCCCTCGCTAAATATTTTTGAATGCTCTTCAAAATCTATTTCGAAAGGACCCTTCTGTGTCCTAACATGCCATGGATCAACCTCATAAAATACTGGTAAAATCGGACGACTCAGCGATGATCTCATATCACAGAGCATAGCTAATTCTTCGAGGCACCAATGAAATTTAGCGTAGTCAGGAGATAAGACGACGACGAATGCCACCGAATCCTCCATAGTCTCCACGAGGCTTAGACCGAGCTCATGATTCTCACCTTCCACATCATCGTTCCATACCCGGACTTGTTCCTTGATGAACGCAGCATAGAGACGCTCTGTGAAATTGTGGCGTGTTTCTCTTTGGAAACTGAGGAATATGTCCCACTTGAGCCTCAAACGCGGATCGGAAACAGCACCGGTCATCATTATCTTTCCTCTTCGAAATCAAGTTTGAAAGATGGAAATAGTGCACAAAATTCTTTACGTGAAGCCAAAGAAAAAAGCTTATTTCGTTCTTAGGTTTATTGTTGGTGCTAAAGCACACACGAAAAAGGTTTTATAAATAACATGGAACCCGTCATATGTAAACAACGCACATGGCTCTTGTCCAAATCGGAAATATCATGCAGTTCAATTGCCAACATAAATCAGAACGGCACACAGTGTTAATGTATGTTTGAAAGACGGATTCTTTTCGTGACGCTGGAGTGAAAGCTTCTTAATTAGCTTAATAGTTTAGTTAGTGCTAAAGCAGCACTAACACGCAACTGTTTTATTTGATTCTTCTACGCATTGACTTTTAAAGATGGAATATGTCATATCTAAGACAACAGTCCAATCAAAGGCGACCACGAGTTCGAGAACTTGAGGGTTTGAGCCACCGGGTTAGACCCGAATACGGATTACAAACAATAAACCTCTTAAAGTATTTTGGTGATGCATAACAATAAAACATCGTACTGATAGATTAGAGAGTCTAAAAACTATACAATTATCAAAACAAATATATGAAACTAATGTCACGAATATCGCTAAACCACAATATATCCGTTGCTCTCATTTTCACAATGTATCATTTTTCGGCTGATCATTATTGATAATCTCCACGGTATTGTTTCATCCTATTTTCGAATAGAATTCTTAAGCCAAAATCATACAATAATTGGTGCAAACATATATATACACATGGATGTACTTAGTAAGAATTTTTTCTTTTCTTTTTAAGATTTAGTTACAATGTACAATACTACAATGCTTAAGTTTTAAGTAGTGTAGTAAAATATTATGCAGCATTTAATGTTTATGCTTGGGCACAATGTCAGTAAAATGTGGTCTGTTTGGAAGAGTGTTAATCAGGTGTTATTATTTCGTTGAGCAATGTGAGTCATGTGACCGATTA